CTAACAAAAATAGTTTAGCAGTATTGGCAGCAACCGAATGAATTACGAGTATGAAAAATCTTAAACTTACCTCGTTGCGTAGAGTATGAACCTCATTCTGCAACGATGCTACCATCTCACGTAGAGCGGCTACCTCACCGCATAATGTAGACACCTTAACACGCCATGCACCATCATCTTTGCGTAAAGTACCGACCTCCTCACGCAAGGCATTGACCTCATAACGTAACTCCCTTAACTCATCCCGTTGAGGTGGAGGTGGAGAACAGGGAGATAAACGTCGTGGCATCTTTGCCGGTCGCCTATCTTGCGGTGATGGTGGAGAAGAGGCTCGATGATATGACATAATAGGTGATGGTTGTCGTTGTGGAGGTGTATAGTCGGGTCGATCAGATGATGGCTCTGGGTGAGGTGATAGCTCTGGGCGAGGTGATGGCTCCCGAAGTGGAGGCTGCTCATCAACCGTTCCATCAAAAAAACGCTTACTAGCTTGCCACCAATCAGTGGCAAGCTCAGCTTCCGTGGGTGTCAGCCTCTGTAGAGGAGTGTTGGCCTCCTAACAATATAAAAGCTCAAACAAAGTTAAACGTGTACTAGTAATAACTTGTTTATAAACATATGGTAGTATTTATGTTAACTTACATTATTTATTGTCGTATACCGTAGTAAATCTTCCCATTGCAAGGTCCGTTTCCTCTTCCAGGAAATAGCCCTGGGAATATCATTTGAAGTTTTTATTGCATATGTCTTCATGGCGGGAAAGGCCTCAAATATCCAAATCTACAAACAATATAATAACAAACATTAGTAATTGTTAAATAATTACTTATAATTTTGGAAACATTATATAAAAATTCTTACCTTAAAGGCCCAAATAAAGCCTGTCAAAGTGTATTTGGAACCATCGCCATGCAAACTTTTTCGATCATCCAAGGCAGACGATAACTTATTTCATGTAGCTTTCCATAAATACGAGCCCCACGGAAACAGGTTCCACGCATTTAGGTCTTCTACCAATTTGATTAGATCATTTGGAATAGGTTGTCTGGCATCTCTGCCTAAAAAGCCGGCATGCAAAAGAATTAGAAGGCATACTCGGACAACGTCGACGTCATCCATCCGAGTAAAACCATCTTTCTTATTCAACAATCTTGTCAGGTCTTCTACGTGTAGATTCGGCCTCTCTAGCTCAAGAAAAACCCGGGATAGCCATGATGGGCGGGTAATGTGTCTAGTGTACTGACCTACATCATCGTGTCCGAAGTGTAGACCGGTGATTAAGCAAAACTCCTCCCGCCCAAAACACGTATACGCCGGTGGAAAATCAAATCATATCTCTTCATCACGGCATTGTATAGTCTCTGGTAGATCGCTAGTCATGGTTTGAAGAAACAAGTGTGTCAACATCGCATCTCCACCGGGATGTTGTACTTTCAGCCATGGCCCGAAGCATGTATCCTCAAACATTTTTCTTTGTGCAGGTGAAAGCTTCGACGCAATTGTTTTGGCCAGGCTGACTTTATTTCTTAAGGTCAATTGAGCCGAATAAAAGTTCCACAAAAATAATAAACATACTAAGTTAGATATACCAAAAACTACACTGTGAAGATATACCAAAAACAATAATAAACATAAAGAGTAGTAGTTTATTCTTCAAACTTAAATTTGCAACACTGTGAATTTCGTATTTGTTTTTGTTTTTTGGTTGAAGTAATGCAATTCATTCAAGTTTCAATTTGCAGAAGAATAATAGTTTCTAAAAATGAAAATCGCAACACGAAAATGACTATCGCAACGCGAATTTGATTATTGCAACGAGAGAATCGCAACGCGAAACTAAAATCGCGTTGCGATTTGCATTTCGCGTTGTGATTCTCGGTTGATTTAATAAGAAATCTAAGTGAAATTGTTAATCTATTATTGAAATTACCAGTAAACTTATCATCAATTTCAATATGAAAAACCTAATAATAATACAAAAATTTCAAAAAGAAAATAATTAAAAAAAACTAACCCTCGTTGGTTGATTTGGTTGATTTTCCATTTCTGATTGTGAGGGTGGCTCTGAGAGATGGAGATAGACGGATTTCGCCGGAGATGGGGATGGATTTCGTCGGAGATGGGTGAGAGAGTGAGAGATGGAGATGGGACTGAGTTGTGATTTTAGGTTTTAGGTTATGAGTTGCGATTACGGGATATATTGTGGACGGTTCAGTGTTCCAATATATTAATATTCGTGTTTGCAATTTAAAAATAAAATACTTGGCCAGGATACTAATGGCGCTTTGAAAATCGCATTGCGATTATGTATTATCGTGTTGCGAAAGTCAGAATCGCGTTGCGAAAGTCAGTATCTCGTTGCGATTTTGTATTATCGCATTGCGATAGTAAGTATCGCATTGCGATAGTCAGTATCGCATTGCGATTTTCCAATTCGTGTTGCGATTTACTTATTCGCATTACGAATTGGGAAAATCGCAACGACACTGTAGGCCATCGCAACGCGATTTTCAACTATCGCAACGCGAAATGCAACGCGAATTTGCGATAATGGAGATCGCGTTGCGAATTAGCGATCGCATTGCGATTTTGTTGGTCATTTTGGCAAATCCAAAAAAAGTTAGTTAAAATCGTATATTATATGGGAATTTTGGTCACTGAGGCGCTTTTCTCATAAAAATACACGTGTCAAAATATTATTAGTGGGGCACAAAGAGGGGCAGAAGATTTCTGTTCAGTTTACATAATATCAGTCGATCAGAAAGTTTTAAAATATATCTTCATAGCCTAAAAAAAACATGTAAAACTATCATAGTAGTAAACCCCAACTTTAAGCACCTTGAGAAGCGTACATATATTATAAGAGTAACCCTAAATAAGTTTACAAGTCCAGCAATGGCAATGTCGGTTTCACTTCCTTCAACCCGTAGGCGAAGTAGAGGAAGGTGGGATCGGTGGCGCCATCTTTGTAATACGCAAACACTAAGCTACCATCATCATGCATGCTTTCCCCCACGAAACTGCAAACGCAAATCAAAGAAAAACGAGTAAAATCGCATATGATGAAATCCGAGACGATGGATGAGAGTTGCATACAATTGAAGATCTTTAAGTTTCGAAATCAAATATTTGGTTGCCCCCTCTATGTTCTTCTTGAACGACTCTTGCCTCTCTGCCTCTAGTTTGGGCGTCAAGTTCTTTATGTACCTTTTCATGAAGGTTACAAACTGCTTCTTGTCGAAAGCAGGTTGCTCCTACAAATTGAAGACACGGCGATTACGGTAAAATATCCGTATATAAATCATGAATCCATAGCAGCGTTCGTTAAACACCTGAAGACTGAAAGTGTCGACAACGTCTACAATCTTTACAGCTTGATCGTCGACGCTTTCATCTCTTCTGCCGAAGGGTTAATTTGCACCAATATCTACATTGACGGCTCCTTGCACAACCCACTGCAATTATAAAAGCCACGTCATGTTGGTCGTAACTTGTAGAAAACATAGCAAACATAAACAAGTAACACACTGCAGGTTGGAATCGGAAGACTTTAGTGTTTTTTGGCATCAATGTTTAAAACTCTATCGTGTACCCTAAAAGAAATATAAGTAAATAATCCATAGAATATAAGATCAACACATCTTCAAGCATAAACGAAATAATGAAGAAGGAAAAGATTCAAACCTTCCCTTCTACTTCCCATAACATTCCATTCTCAATTTCCTTGCATGGAAAAGGAATCTGAGAGGAGTTCATCGCCTGAAATTCGTCAACAATAACCAAATTTAGAATTCAACCATACGGATTAAACCCCCCAAAAGAACTTTTTTCCCTGAAATATCATGTTCTTTTCATAAGAAACACAGAATTTTCAGATATAACAAATAAAATCCTAATAATAGAACTCAGTTACCTGTAAAAAGATCCTGATAAATTAACATAATTGCTGGAAATTAATTAACTTAATGAACTAACTAGCCCTCTCTGATTCTTGTGTTTGGCCTTGGAAATTTGAAAGGGATATTTAATGAACCAAGGCCTCTCGCGGATTCTCAATTTACCAAAGCACCCTTGGTATTTTTCATGAATTTCTCTTTTTATTCTCGTTAATACGTGGACAATTTTGAAATTAAAAGTTTTAAAGAGGAGAAAGAATACAAAACAGAAATAAAAATCTTAGTTGCTTTTCTAACATGAAGCAGTTTTAATTAGGATAAATGGTCGGTGATTTTTTTTAAAGATAAATTACATAAATGGTCTTAAGTGTTATTTTATTGAGTTTTCAATTATTAAAAGTTATAAGATAATCTTTCAATTATAATATATTGTTTTGTTAAATCTATTAATTATTAAAAGTTATAATATAATAATTCAATTATTCATATATTCCAAATTCATTATTTTTGCAAAAAAATTAGTGATTGTTTGAGCTAGACATTAACATGCTCATCGAGATATGTTAAAATTTGATTCTATAATTGTGTGAGTTGTAATTGTGGATTAAATCTCTATTTATATTATGTCATCGAGTTAGTGGTTGAAATATTATGTCTTGAACCAATGCTTGAAAGCAAAGAGAGTACCCATAAATATTATTAAAATATGATTTTATTATATCTCAGTTAATAGGTTATTATTTAGCTTAAGCGACCTTTATTTTTTTATGAAAAAGAACGAGTTTAAATCATATTAATAGTTGAATAATTATTTTATAACTTTTTAATAATCGAAGAACTTAATAAAATAACACCTATAATTAAACGATTATTTTGTAAACTTTAATAAGCGAGAGATTTATTATAATAATACCTTATAATAAGAGATCATTTATGTACTTTATCTTAATTTTAACTACTCATTACCATTTTACCGTAATTTATCCACCCAAGAATCTAAAGCATTAATGTTTTAGATATAAATAATAATTTTTTATTGATTTTGTTAAAAAAATAATAACAAAGACAACCTGGTAAAATATTCCACTGGATCGGTTTGAGCAAAAAGCCCTACAATGCCGCCGCCTCCAATCCTATTAACGGATAACTGAGCTATGAGAGTCAACCGGGCGAGAAGAAACGGAGCGACCCGCCTTCCTCTTCGCGCTTCTCCTCTTTCTTTAGTCCACCGCGTCAAAGCCACCGTCAAAGCCGTTTCCTGCTGGTACTGCGATCTAAAAATCTACGCCCTCAACGAACCTCTCTTCCGGTTCGGCCGAAAGCACGCCTCGATTTTCAAACTCTGGTTCTCCATCGGGACTGGTTTCGGCCTAACGGCACTCGTTGGAGTCACTTCGATTATTATCTGGCAACTATTCATTAGCTCCGACCCCCGGCTTAGCAACCTTTTCGGTTCCCTCTTGTTCGGGTTTTCTCCTTCTTTAAGAATCTCATTGTCCGATGCCGGATATTTATTCATCTCCACTTTGGTCTCCGTTTTCGTCCATGAATTTGGCCACGCTATCGCCCTTGCAAGGTCAATTTCTATTTAATTGATTTCATGGAAAACAGAATTGATGATTTTAGTTGAAATTTTGAGTATCAAGGTTAGGATTTTCTCATGTTTGTTACTATAGGTGAAAAAGCAGTGAGGGAATACAGTTGGAGTACATTGCAGTTTTTCTTGCGGTTCTATTTCCCGGTGCACTAGTTGCTTTTGATTACGATTTGCTGTTGGCGTTGCCTCGATTAACTGCCCTTCGCGTATATTGTGCTGGGATTTGGCATAATGCAGTGGTAATCTCACGAATTTTTAACGAATCTATCGTGTTTAAATGATCTCAATGGTTTAGGTTTAATTTAGCATTGTAGTTGGATTGCAAACACTTTGGTTCGTGAAACCAGATTTCAAAGCTGGAATTTTGAATCCGTTTACCTATAGCATAATGCAGTGGTAATCTCATAAATCTAGATCAGTTTTAATGTTTTGATGATTTCTTGATCTGCTTAGGCTTCGCTTAGCATTTTTGTTGGGCTGCAAACTGAAATTTTCAACCTGCATGACGTAATGCTGATGTATCATGTTTAGATGATTTCTTGATCAGCTTAAGCTTAGGTTAGCATTGTATTTGGGTTGTTGCGAAACACTGGTTTTTCCAACCATGACGCAGAACTGAAATTTTGAATTGATTTACATCTAGCTTTGTCATTGTGGTCGAAATTAGAGTTTGAAAACCTTACTGTAAAGGAAAACTCAACTTAATCTAGTGCACCTCTTACTTTAACTTTTCTCTGGTGTAGTTCTGTGCACTTTGTGGATTGTTGTTGTTCCTGCAGCCAGTGATCCTGTTTCCATTTTACATACATGCCGAGAGCCCTTTGGTACTGGACTGCAAGTATTTACTCATTTTATTCTTAGATTTGAAACATGAATGTTGATGGGCTTGCCTTGATTTATCCTTCTACTGTCTTGATGGGCTTGGCTTGATTTATCATTCTACTGTCTTGAATAGGTTTTGGACGTAGCATCTCCGTTATCTGAATTTTTGTCTCCTGGGGATGCCATAGTGTCATTGGATGGTGCAGGCATCCATGGTGTACAAGATTGGATGGATATGACTGCTCTACTAGACAAAAAGATACTTAAGAATTCAAGTGATTTCCATCATTTTAGAGGCTTTGGTGCCGTAGATAGAAGAAAAGGATACTGTGTGCCTAATGCCTTGTTGGAAGACAGCAAGAATGTTCAATTGGCCAAAAACCAAACTGTCTGTCCTTATGATTTCACAGAATTTGTGAAAATTCACTGTTTTGATCCAAGTAATTCAGTCAATGTTGTTGATGAAGATGGTGATCTTGGAAGAAGAGAAAATGTGCTATGTTTGAATGCAAAGGATATTGTCAATCTCGAAAAATGTGATGGAAGGGGAAAAGTAATGAAAAATGGAAGCAGATGCATGTGTTCTGAGGTAGACTTTTATCTTCAGAAGCATAAATTAGCCTTTTTCCTCAAACTTGCTTCAATATAATGCTAGTAATATACTATTGATCACAACCTTGTTTCTCAATGTCTGTAGGATGAGTCTTGCTTAAGTCCAGTTCAGTTTCCAGGTTTGATGTGGGTCGAGATTACATATTCAAGGCCCCATTCAACAGAATGCTTACAATTTAAAAGTTCCCTTTTAGATTCCAACACTTCTTCTGATGCTGTAGAACAAACCTGTGGTGGAACTTTTGTTTTTGTTGGTGATGTGATATCAATGGCCCATTCAGTTCAGTTGACCGAATATCAACCTCGGTGGGGATTTTTTATCGGAAAATATATTCCAAATAAGCTAGAAAAGAGCTTAATATGCACACTCCATGTTTCTTTAGCATTACTTCTTCTCAACAGCTTGCCAGTAAGTACCATATTTTACTTCATAGACTGTTCTAGCATATGCTTTTTCATTTTCATTTCATTGCCTTTCATCACACTAAACAAAGAGATAAGTTGATAATGAAGGTTAATGTTAAATTGTCATATTAGGAAACAAATTTATTTTTATGGTCTATAAGTAGATTAGGGATTTTATCAATGAAGTAGAAGAGTTGCTTACGGATAATCATGTTTATGTTACCCAAAATTGAGCATAAGTGTCCGATATAAATATGCGCCTAAAGCAGGTATAATCAACCCTTTTTACAAGTTTTTTTTTCTATATATTTGTAGGATCATACGGTTCACACTCCCATATCCATACCCCAAGTATTTATCAAGGGAAGTGTGTATGGATTTTCTGTACCAATCTAACCTCTTTTTTCTTTTCTTTTCTTGATTAGGTATATTTTCTAGACGGTGAATCGATTTTGGAAGTTGCTTTGTCTCACTTCACATCATTGAGCTCAAGAAAGAGAAGAAAAGTTCATCAAATATGTGTTGTGGGAGGGACTTTCATTTCAGTTCTGGCGTTCTCGAGGATCTTGTTTATCAATGTCTTCTAATATTATTATGTTATACGAACTTAGAACTTATATCAGTCGCGGCTCATTCAAGTTTGAATCTCAATATTTGTAACTTCTCTTCGGATTTTGAGGTTGTAGCATCACTTTGTACCAAAAGAAATTTAGTATACACTCGTTCTATATTCCTTACAAACTTGAACATTTAGAAAGGAAATGGAAAGATTTTTGCACTCTTCCCTTTCAGATTTTATATTTTTAATGACTGTTACGTTATTGTTAATCACTCTTCTGCTCCCGAGTCCTGCATGTGTTTGCTCATTGCCAAAAGCCAAGCTCTCCTCCCCCACTACCATTCTGTCTTCCATAACCCATCAATCCACACCATCTCCATTTTTCAAGTGTCACTATGTAGGGTTGAGCCTGCATTTGATGCACCTGGATTTAAACTGCGGCCTGCATTCGAGTACTCGATCTCATCCTTTGCAGTTCATACTAAAATTTAATGTAATTGATTTATATATTTAAATTTATGAGAATTAAATCTAAACATGATCTGGATTTTACAAGTTTAAGCACATGGAAATGAATGAATTTGAAAGAGGATTCCAGGTCCTTTCTTTCTACCAGTGTCTCCCATGCAATGCCAAAAGCAGCAAAATAAACAAGACGTTTTTAAAAATAAAAAAAAAAGGTTTGAAGACCCAAGTTTAGGCTAACAAGCTTAACTGATGATGAGATGTAGAATTTTAAAGAATATAGATTTGTGATGATATGATGACCAAATTTTGGGACAAAAGTAACTGAGGTTTTCCTTGTATTTGGCTGCAGAAAGCAAATACAAAACCAGTAAGAATAATATTTTCTAGGAGTTATGTCAAATTCGAGAGAAAAAAATGAAGGAAACAATCAATTCTACACCATTTTCATCGCATTGGAAATTCCAACAAGTGTAGGACCCAACAGGCCACAGCTTTGATGATGATAATGGCATGCTTATCATGTTTCTGAACCAGGGAAACAGTCGTCATTTTATATGGCATTGTTAAAATTTGTATATAAATGCATAACACTTTCTTTGCTTTTTCCACTCAACTCACAAACTTCAAAATCTTTTCTTCGTATGGCTTTCGGGTGAGTAACTCTTGTTGAAGAAGCAGGGCACGTGCAAATTTCCATGTCTAGCAATCTTCTCAGTATTTTTTTTTACATATGAACTTTGCATGTGCTTCCCTTGTCCACCATGAGTTCCTCACCTTTTTTTCTCGTCTCTCACTCTCATTGGTGACTGCACCCTGCAGTGCAAGTGCAACTCACTTGTTGAAAAACTACAGATGCTTAGTTAAAGGTAAGATATCATGCATATATATATAGTCATATAATTTTGTTTATTTTTCACAGGCCTCCCTTCAACTTAGTTTCTCTCTTCACTTACAACGATCAATTCTTCTTGCATATGTATGTATGTATGTATTCGGGTCCATCTATGACAAGAACCATCCAAGTTCTGTGTTCAAATTTCAGAGGGCTTTCTCTACACAGGCTATATATATTACCCGAGTATAAGTATAGAATACAGTATAAAAATATGTTTGCTTTTATCGAATATAGATATCAAACATGATTGCCTTTTTTTTATAAAAAAAGTAAGCTGCAAGTAATAAAGAAGGAAGAAAAGAGATGGGTTGTTGGATGAAAGATTAATGTAAATTTACTTTTAAAGAAGAAATACTGGGTTTTTAGCAATACGGCAGGATCATGATGCAAAGGGATTGTACTTTGTGTTGTTGACTTGAGGAAGAGTAAGCATACAAAGAAAGTTTAATAATTCCTTAATCTTTCTTAACTACTTCGTCTTCATTATTTTAATGTTACATCAAATATTAATATTTTAATATTTATATTAATTTTAGTTTTTAAATTAAAAAACGGAAGATTTTCAAGAGTAACTAAATAATTTAAAATATTTTACATTGAACTATCCGAATACTAATTACCATAAATCTACTTTTCTATTTTCTCTAAAAAAAATATTTTTCAGAAATGATTTTTCATATAAAGGAATGAAAGGGAAGGGAAGGGAAGGTTAAAGAAATGGAAGAATACAATATTCAAAACCTGAATATTAATTAAAGCTCTACACTTGAATCTGTTCATCCATTTTGCTTGAAGATGAAACAAGGCGTTCTCTGATTTCCCATTCATCTGATGATGTTATTGAACGCTTCCTGCTATAAATTGCGTACAGAAGTAGTTGTGCTATTCCAAGAAGTAACCCTATCCCATTTGGTACCTGCAATGAAATAAAATTCGAAACAGACACATATTCGAATATGATTATTGAATGTATGTATTTGCTACATATTCGAATATGATTATTGAATGTACGTATTTGATACATATTTGAATATGATTATATTTTTCATATCGTATTTAAATATAGTTTTGAAATGGAACATACTCCAAGAAAGATATCTTTGACGAGCACAGCATACAAAGTCCAAATGGCCCCGTTCAAGAAAACGAACAATGAGAGAAGGAACGGCATATACTCCACGCTTTTAGTCGTCACCACCGTTTTCTGCACAATATTTCGAGGTCAAACTATTTAATCTATGTTACTCCCACTCTTTATTTATGTTCGATTATTTATCAAACTTACTAAACAGACAGTTTAAGCTAATCTTACCATTGCTGCTAAAGGCGAGCCATACATGATAATATCGAGGCCTGCACTCAGAAACCCTAACACATTAATCCTCATTTGATCTCCATGCACAACCACTTGAGTGACCAAAACTGTTGCTGCTACAAATCCAACATCGAGAAGCCCAAAGAGTATCCCAGTTTTAGCCTAGAAGTACACAACAAAACATATCATTTTATATACTTTGAAGACATGGAGTTCATGTTGATGATGTAGTTGATAATACCCTGATTCTCGGAGGTGCAAAAATAAGGAACAAAGCTACATAAATCAATTCCACCACTACTCCAAATCCATTTATAGTGGCAACCAGGAAACTTCCAGGATTTGTAACACCATAGTAAGTCCACAAGGTACAACTCAAGAGGGTCGAAATGTAGGGAAAGCTCTCGAATTTTTCTGTCGAGCGGTTCCTCACTATTCTGCAGAATGTGCTCCTGCAATAACACAAACAACATTAGATCTCGGGTTTGATCTTGAGTGGTCTCTGTAGTAAAAGAAAATATTATTCATTTTAAAAGACTCAAAATCGAACAACTACGTTTGCAGGTTTTATATTGTCAATTAATACTTTATAATTATCTCGTACTATTGAAAAGAAGAACACGGACTTACAGCGGAGAAAGAAAGAAGAAGACAGAGATGATGTTGCCTGATGCATTAACAGGAGAAAATACAAGCAAATTAGACGTTGAAAAAACACAGAAATCTGCAATCACATGATCATCTGAATGTTTTCTTCACCTATTACTCCGACAACGAAACTCAGGCTTATCATGTTGGGATTTGAGACGACTTTCTTTTGGTGAGGCTTTGGTTATGAAAAACGTTCAGCTATAAACAAAACTATCCCACTATTACTTACAAAAACAGATTGCTTATTTTCCAAATCCTTTGATTATTTTAATACAAGACATGGATCATCTGTGATATATTATATTGTTCTTAATAAATATTTCTAGCGTGATCCATAGTTGGAATGCATTGCAAGCAATCTTAAAGACTTTGTCCTTTACATAATCTTCATATACGAAGTTGGATATTTTTTTTAATAGTATTTAAAGTGATTATAAGGTAATATATGTTAAAAAATATTAATAATTTGTATACACCCTACAGAAACATCCGTTTAAACTCGAAATCTTAAAAAAAACATTTACTTTAATCAATAAAGTCATCTAATTAATTTACGAAGTTAACTATTGAATGTTAATTTTCATTAAAATATTTTTTTATTTTCTTTTATTTTGGCTTGAGTCGTTTTTCATAATTATATGCTAATAAAGAGACACAACGAGAAAAAAGAAAACTAAAGAACTAATTACTTTTTGATTTCAGATAAGATCTTATTTTGAATAAATATTAAAACAATATGATAAAGTACGCAAGGGTGCAACTTTATATATAACAAGTGACCACGATATATTATTAAAAAAAAGAACTATAAATAAGATTTTAGGGTAAACTACAGTAATGGTTACTTACCTTTGATATTTGTACATTTTTATTCACTAAATTCAAAAAACTAAAGTTTTAGTCACTTATATTATCATTTTATTAAATTATGGTCACCAGAACGTTGAATGACGTTAATAGAAGTGTTTAATTTTTATTTTAACCCCTGAACTTTATATAAATATTAATTATAAGACTTTTTGTAAATTTAAAAAAGTTTAGGGACAAATTTTCAATTTACCCATGTTTAATATGCTTTTCTTTGAGCCGCACACCATTCATCTTCTCTGTCGTCGGTTGAATGCACTGGAAAATTGCTTGAAATGATAGAGAATATATGCATTTTACACTTTACTCGGTCTCACTTTACTCTACTGAGTTTTCCATGCAAGAGTATAAACTGACACTCAGTTTTTCGATCGATGGAGTTGGGAATAGGGCTGGCGTGCTTCATGGTGGTCAAGAGAATAATGGTATAAGGGTTTGCTTGCCCTTTTGGAGAAATATAACCCATTTGGAGCTGTAATGAAGTTGATGATCAAAATAAGGAGCAAAGCAATTCAGGTGGATATTGGAATAATCACTACAGTAAAACAGGTTTTTTGTTTTTAAACAAAGATTTGAAGACCCAAGTTTAGGCTAACAATCTTAACTGATGATGGGATCTAGAATTTTAAAGAATATAGATTGTGATGATATGATGACCAAATTTTGGGACAAAAGTAACTGAGGCTTTCCTTGTATTTGGCTGCAGAGAGCAAATACAAAACCAGTAAGAATAATATTTTCTAGGAGTTAAGTCAAATTCGAGGTCATATCTGTTAAAAAAATGAAGGAAACAATCAATTCTACACCATTTTCATCGCATTGGAAATTCCAACAAGTGTAGGACCCAACAGGCCACAGCTTTGATGATGATAATGGCATGCATATCAGGCTAAACTCACGATATAATACACTCAAAATAAATAAATCACGATCTGATACATTCCCTATATTATTTGCTGAAATAGGGCGAAATCAACAGTGGCCGTAGGTCGCCATGCCTTCCGGGCGACCTACTACGTCGCCATGGCTTCCCGGGAGAGATAATGGACGTTTGCATGGCACATGCACGTCCCAACAGGTCGCCATGCATTCCCCAACACCCCTACAAGGTCGCCAAGCACTCCCAGCGACCTACAAGGTCGCCATGCACTCCCAGCGACCTTGTAGGTCGCCAAGCAGTCTCGGCGACCAAGCTTCTGTGCCCCTCTGCTCCCGTGCTCCTCTCATGCTCGTGAAATCACCTGCTTCATGCAGCAATGCATGCATGTGAAGCCGTGAATTATTGGTTCAATTATTGAAACATTGCAGCGTGAAATCAGCTGCTGCAATTGCACAATTATTGGTGAAATAATTGAGGCAGCCGGTGACATTATTGGTGAAATAATTGAGGCAGCCGGTGACACCTAAATTATATATGGGGTGTGCATTATAGTGAGAACATAAAAGAAAGAAAGGGAGAAGAGATTGCAGCAGAAGAAAGGGAGAAGAAATTGCAGCCGAGAAAGAAAGAAAGGGAGAAAGGAAAGGAAGAAGAAGAAAAGGAGATAAGGCTCTTGTGAGGTAAATTTTTTTATTTAAATTAGTTTATTATTATAAATGTTTAGTTTGTTAGTTTAGGGTTTATGGTAAAACAAAAATCAGTTAATTAGTTTGTTAATTTAGGGTTATATGATTGTTAGTTTAAGTTATATTATACATAAATAAAAAATTATTTAATTAGTATGTTTGATAGTTATATAGTTAAAAAATAATTAATTAGTTTGTTTTGTTAATCGTTAGTTATATAAAAAAATTATTTAATTAGTTTGTGGTAGTTAAATAGTTAAGTTATATTTGTTTGTTGAATTTATATTATATAAAAAATTAGTTAGTAAGTTTATTAGTAGTATATTATAATGAAAAAATAGTTTATTAGTTTTAGTTATATAAAAGAATATTTTATTAGTTGTTTAAGGGTTTAGCGTTTACGTTTAACTTATATTTTAAAAGGTTTAGTTTGTTAGTTTATTAGTTTATTATATTAAAGTTTAGTGTTGTAAATTAGTTAGTTAGTTTATATTAGATTATATTAAATGATTTTTTAAATATTGTTGTTTAATTTTTTTTACAGATTCATCCAATGGCTGACCAAATTCCACTGTTGAGGCTTGACAATGAACATATTTCAAGTCATATGGGAATAATGGTGAATAAAATATTTGTTTAATGAATTATAATTAATAAATATTTGAATATTATTTTATGATTGTGATAAATTTTTTGAAATATTTAATTGCAGGAGGACGAGCAGCGAGTCCTTCGTCTTCGGCTACATAAAGTGCCCAAGCCACACAGATTAATAGAAGAAAACTTGCAGGAGGCTGGATTTTGGTATGTAACATTTGTGCGAGATTACAAGTTGGTCCTAGGTTTGATCAGTGCCTTGATTGAGCGTTGGAGACCAGAAACGCACACGTTTCATTTGCCGTGTGGCGAATGTACGATAACTCTGGAGGATGTGGCATTGCAACTCGGGGTCCAAACAAATGGGATGCCAGTGGTAATGTCACATGAGTTTAATAATGTGGCACAACTTTGTAGCTTGTTTCTTGGGAAAACGCCCGTGCCACCAGAGTTTAAAGGGTGGCGTGTGAGGTTGTCATGGTTGAAGAATGAATTTCAGCTTCAACCAAATAGTACGGAGCACGAAATTATATATGCAACACGAGCATATATATTACAGTTGATTGGGGGTATTTTAATGCCGGATAAATCCGGTAGTTATGTTCACACTCAATATCTTCTTTTTTTAAGAAATTTTGAGAATAGTAGGAAATATAGCTGGGGATCGGCGATATTGGCGTTCTTGTATCGTGAGATGTGCAAGGCGTCATTAGTCGTGAATGATAATAATACAACAGAAATCAGTGGATGTCTGTTGCTGCTACAGTCATGGGCTTGGCATAGACTTCCGTTTCTGACACCGATTAGTCGGACTGCGGTTGACTTTCCGCTTGCCGGAAGGTAATATGAATTCTCTATTTTAATATAAAATATTAATTATAAAATAAAAATGACCATATTTTTGTTTTGATTGATATACAGATGGAGGCATAAAATTGAAGGCACGGGGTTGATGCACAACAACATTAAAGAGTTCGGGCTGAAGATCGACATTAAGGCTAAAAAGGAGATATGTATAATATGTTATTTTTAATTATTATTTAAATTAACTATATTATTTGATTTAAATAAATTTTATTGTTTTTGTAATTTTACAGTTTAATTGGAGACCATACATGAATGAAGAAATACTTGCGTTGATACCGCACGATATTTTAGATGGGTTTCAATATTGGTGTGATGTTACACCATTGATCAATTTTGCGTTTGTTGAGATCCAATTTGGGGATAGAGTGTTGAGGCAATTCCACTTCCACCAACCTATTCCGCGGAGTCCATGGGATCATGACCTCCTCCAAATCTTAGATGGTCGTCGTCAGGTGAATTGGGTTGAGACGCATGACCAGCTGCACAGATTTGATGGTCGTCGTAAAGAAAATGTTAATTGGGTTGAGAAGCATGCAACCTACATTAATGCTTGGAACAATAGGGCTTCATTCATGCCAACTCTTGACGACATTCAAGATGACGACTTTAATTTTGAGACTTCGGCTTACCTTGCTTATTTTTTGGATAATGGAAAGCCATTCTTGACAACAATTGTAGAGAGGCGACAATTTTTGAGGTTTAAGAAAAGATTTGGTAAAGCTGAATACTCTATACCAAGTGGGAGTGGGAGTTCATCTCAACAACCTGAAGCGGAAATGACCGATGTAGATAATAGCGCACCACAACCGTTCGGCGATGCATACATACCAGAGTTTGTGCAGCCTGATGCATCCATCCACTCTCCCATGTTTTCGTCGACGTATGAATTTGAACACATGTCAGTTCAAATGCCCCCAACGAAGGAGGAGGATGGGTACCATACTCCTGAGCAACCGCAACGGCCACAACGCATCAGACGTCCGCCCCAACATTATCATTCAACAACACCCCGACATCGGCAACAATTGTAAACTAGTTTTTTATTTGTTACAAATTTCATATTGAAATTAGACTAGTTTTTTCAAACCTTAACAAATTCGATATATTTATAATGATTTTTAGTATCAAATCATTATTATAATTTCATTACTAGTTATGTAACGAAAATATGGTTAATTGAACCAAACATTGTTCATTGTTCAAGTCGTAAATCATTACTATCAAATCATTAATATCAAATCATTAAATATTAATAATAAATTATTATTACTAATCATTACTAAATCATTACTATCAAATCATTAAATATTAATAATAATTTCATTATTACTAATCATTACTAAATCA